AATAACCTGCATGTTTCACCCAAGCACATTTCAATTTTGAAAATGCCCAAATTGAGAATTGCTTCTTCAGCTCAGCAGGCTAACAAAGCCAAAACCAGGAAGACAGTCCAAAGAGAAGACCCTAAAATTCATAATAAAATTCACTACATTGACCATCACAATTAATAATTTGCAGGATCATACACTTGACCATTTAGGAATATGTCTTTGAGAGTCAGTTTTTTTCGCATGTTTCAATCTATAAGGATTTATCAAGAAGAACACAAGTTAAAAATATACAGAAGTCAAAATGCTAATCAAACAATACTTCATGATTAAATATACACACAAAGTTTTGTTTTTGTGAAATACCAGAATAGGATAGTCATTCTCCATACATATTGTTACTAGATTATAATTAATTTTTAGAAAACATGTTCATAAAACATTTATTTAGATATAATAATTGTAATTAAGTCATTATTTCCTGTCATATGATGGTCATTCAGCTTGTTAATAACAGGGAAGTTTTCAACAGAGAATATGTAGAACTTTAGTACTGGAAGTGGCTGTTTTGGAAACTTTTACGTGCTGAAATTATACTTAGTGACAAACATTATGACTTCAAATATGTACATTTAGAGGGTTGAATGATTTTGGGTTATTATAAGATACAGTGGTGCAATTTTTAGAAGGTTCAATTGATTTGGGTTGTGGTAAAGTACATATGGTGTAATTGTTTTGGGTTGTTATAAGATACATATGATGTAATTTTTAGAGATTGAATTGTTTTGGGTTGTTATAAGGTACATATGGTGTAATTTTTAGAGGGTTGATCATTTTTGGGTTGTTATACAGTACATGTGGTGTAATTTTTAAAGGGTTGAACTATTTTGAGTTAATGTCACATACATATGGTATAATTTTTTAGAGGATTGGATTGTTTTGGGTTGTTGTAAGGTACATATGGTGTAATTGTTAGAGGGTTGAATTGTTTGGGTTGTTGTAAAGTATATGTGGTGTTATTTTTTTAGAGGGTTGAATTGTTATGAGTTGTTGTAAGGTACATGTGTAATTTTTTTAGAGGGTTGAATTCTCTGTGCTGTTTTCATGATAATACAAATGTTGACTGAAGTATCTATATTTACAGAGGAGTTTTAGTTCCACAACCACAGCGACTTCAGACAGCTATGTCTCTTTATTCCAGTAATTTATGTGGTCTTGTTCTACTTGTTGACAACAGGATTAACTCCTACACTGGGATTAAGAGAGGTTAGTGTATTTTTCTTATGCTGTTTCTTAACAACAACATCAATCCCCACAACAGGATAAAGAGAGGTTAAAGTAGTGTGTTCTATTTCTGAAGTCTGGTTAGTGTGTTCTACTTCTTGTTTTATTTCTGAAGTCTGATTAGTGTGTTCTACCTCTTGTTTTATTTCTGAAGTCTGGTTAGTGTGTTCTACTTCTTGTTTTATTTCTGAAGTCTGGTTAGTGTGTTCTACTTCTTGTTTTATTTCTGAAGTCTGATTAGTGTGTTCTACCTCTTGTTTTATTTCTGAAGTCTGATTAGTGTGTTCTACTTCTTGTTCTATTTCTGAAGTCTGGTTAGTGTGTTCTACTTCTTGTTCTATTTCTGAAATCTGGTTAGTGTGTTCTACCTCTTGTTCTATTTCTGAAGTCTGGTTAGTGTGTTCTACTTCTTGTTCT